TTCTCATTTGAGTTGCTATTCTTTTTTCGTTTCATCGCATTTACCCCACGGCTGTGTATCTTGAAACATCAATTTCGTGGCTTTTATTATTATTTTTTTTAGCTTTTCGATGGTTTTTGGCGACGGAATTGCACGAAACGTTTTGAAGATCGAGGCAGACGGGGATATATAAATTCAGGGGGTGGGGTGGGCGGGTTAAGGGGAGGCAATTGCCTCACTGGATTATCTTGATAAGATGTTGGGCACGAAGGGAATAATTGTACTATTACCGGGAAATTGAAGGTTCAGGATCGCTTGATGGAATCATTGGAACATAATTTTTTATTCATTGCACTTTGAGCGTTTCAGTATTTTTTTTAATTCATTCATTAACATATCGTTTGCGATGATTCGAATTGAGGTATCAATTTTGATTTTCCAATTTTGTATAATAATATCATAGCAATTTATGAATTTTCAAGTCTACGAATTATTCTTATTTTGAGAGGTATTCCAATGGAGATGAAAAAAATTACACAAATGTACCCAAATGATTAAGTAATTACAAAATTATTTCCAACGCTGAATGACGGTAATACAGAGCAAACGAGGGGTAAATGCGAGGGTGCACACGATACTGGGATAAATGCATACCGGTGGGTGAAAGTTAACAAGTTATTAACCAGTCATCCAATTAGTGTAATTAGCATGAGTTACGTGTACATCGAGTGCGATGAAACTTGCGGACACAACGTGCAGAATGATAAACCTCCTGGGCCCCAGAGAATTAAAATTCCGTGAAGTAAAAAGTGAATTACACATTTCCTCCAGAATAAATAGAATAATTTCACCCTCTTACAATTCATCCATCAAATATAATAATATATCATCGGTAAAATCGTGTACGAAAGACATCATGAGACCACCTCACATAATGGTCCTCTAGTCATTTATTCGACTATAAACTTCCACAGTGAGATTTTTTTTTTTCGCAAAAACAGCGTGTAATTGCTGGTACCCACTCGCATTCCCTTCAACAATGTCAGTGACAGCTGCTCTGTAAATTCTCGGAAGACATGTTTTTGGCATGAAAATACACGTAGACACTTTGAACTCCGGTAAACGGCCGTATTCTGTAGAACATTCAATTTGTAAACACCTCCGAGATCATAACAATGAATTCCGAGTGATTTACGAGTGAGTTAAGTATTTTTACGGTTACCAGCGACATTTGTACACGGTTGGAATATTACACCTGAATTTCCAAGTAAAACTTGATATTTTTAATAACGACAAAGTGGTATGAAATTTGCTTGAGTCAATTTTTTAAATATTCCGATTATTTTCAATTTTCAGGCCCATGTGGTAATTCAGTGTAATGAGTCTATAGACATTAGATTATTATTAGATCGTTCGGTTATCGTTAATTATTGATAGTTAGAGA